AAAAACTATGGAAACTTTGACATAACTGCAAAAGTATTCTTATATTTTGGTGAAATGTAATGGTTCTGTATTTAGTAGATGTAACAATCACTGATGAATATTGAATACATATAGCTGATATATACCTTTTAGCACAATCGGTCCCAGTTTGTGATACTGTGTGTAACATGAACCGAACATGTCATTGAAAGAACACATTATTTAACAAATAAGTGTTAAAAAGGGAAGACATTTAGAAATTGAAAATTAAATCATATGGTGAGAGAAAAGACTAAGCTGTCATTTGGTGATAAAACTGTGAGAAATTGCAGATTATAACTGAAAGTACACTTTCACGGCTGTGTTACTAGTTATCTGTGTTGTCAATACATATATACAAACATGGAGACTTACCTTTGCCGGTTCTCGTCTGGTTTATTCTCAGCTAGAAAATAAATACGCCGTTGTCAAATGTCATGTTCTGAAGAATACTATTCTATTCAACAGACATTAATATTACTTGAGATATGTCCTACACGCTAATAAATGTCAACGTTGAACGTCTTTTGTGGGTATATGCAGACTTGATGCCACCAATGCTCTCAGATTATACCACATATACACTACGTTTTGCAGTCTGCATAAGATAATGATGATGAGGAGGAGACACGATGATTCCAGCAGACCCTGTTGCTATGGCAATCACTGTATTCTTCTTCCTTAGTAGCCATCGTTCCCGATCAAAGGGAAGCTTGCACTGCGACAGAACAGATCAAAATGAAGAAATGCAAATAGACAGATGTGGGTTTGATCTTCTATGAGAATTTACTATATGAGAAGATGTTGGATATCATAAAATATAGTTCCTCACGTTTAGGCTGAGAATTTGTCAGCGAGCAAGAGTTACTCACAGATGATGCTTGTTTGAACAGAAGATGTCCCTTGTTCATTAGTGGCAGAGCACGATAGGTTCCCCGACCAGAAGATGACACGTGTTTCAGAAATGTCTGTCCGTAACTGATATCGCCGTTGTGACGCCACATGTAGGAGGTGACGGCAGGGTTTGCATCGTCAACGACACATTCAACTTCAACGAATGCCCGACCATGACACTGATGACATCTTGCCTTGTTGACAGGTGGATCTCCGGGGATCTTATGTCAGACATAACATGGTCATGTTTCACGTGGATAGAAACATAACCCCAACATCAAACGTTCGAAATACCATATTAATATCATGAAACTTTTATACCCAATCGAAACACTCCATCTGGTGATATACAAAGAGTAATAGCTAAATACCCAACAGAAATAATAACTTCTCTTTTAAATCGCAAAACAACTTCCCTTGCTTAAGAGGGCGGATTATCATTAACTGGTTATGAAAGTAAAGATTATTTTGAACATATCCCAAGTCTTTCAGGAACAAAAATATATTGCGAGTTCGCCGTTTACATTCTGTGACACCAGGTCAGCCAATGTAATGTTTGAGAATATGATATGAAATATTTGTTGACGTAATGAAGAAGTGATGATGTCACTTTGGATTATTATCATCTACACACTGATTGTGACGTCATATCGGTAATTCGTGTACAATTAATTAACGATCTGAACGATAAATCCAAAACCTATGCCCCGATATCCAACAAGTAAACGATAATATGATTTAAACAGTTGCCCCTTACATTTCACGTTTACAGTTGCAACTGCCCGTCCAGACGTCATCATGTGTCCATTGTCAGCAGTGCAGGACAATTGTCCATTTGGTCAGATTTGGTAACGTTCTGAATCAGGAATGTGGACCCTATATGTGTTTTCTCCATTGTGGGACCACCGGAATGTGTAGGTTGTAGGGTTGACAGCATCCACTACACACTGTACACGTAGGTTTTCACCGACAACAACATCAAGGGTGTTGTTACTTTTGGTTCCAGATGAACCAAAGGCGTGTCTGGTCACAGAAAAAGGTTCAACGTTAATCTCAAAGAATGAGGGCGTACATGTTATCAAACTTGCTTTTATATAATCTCATACATACTCTTTAAGAACGTATGGGAACTTCATTTTTAATTTACGATTAAAAATATTGGGAGATGTATCGGAGTCAATCAATGTTGATATGATAATAATGAATGTTTTGAGAGTGCATCATCACTTGCACTTCCTTATGACCATAGTTGTTTGTACAGTAACCTTTCGTAAAAGATGATTGGTGTATTACGTGGAATTTGCATGTGTATAATTTTCGTTTTAAAAAAAACAACAGCTAGAAACAAACACCGACAACTGTTTGATGCAAGATGATTGTCAAAAATTAATGGTCTACAGTGATTTATCCACCTCCTTAAAACCTGTCAAAATTACAAATGACTCCCCAGTTTATGGGCTACTGCGTTGTGTACGTACATCCCATTTGTTGTGTTTAGGGTGGTGATACAGGAAAATGGTGGTGCGTTCATAAGATGTCTGTCTTTAAAAAGTTTGTTAACGCTTATACTTCCTATCCAAATTGAAGTACAAGTTCCCCACCTTTTTCAAAGAGTTGATATACAAAGAAAACTGCGAAAGGAATGACACTTATTAGCCTGTACGTTGTTAACGCCACCGTGGTAAATCGCTATACAATATCCACCACTGTCTGCATGTACATGTATTAATGTAGCATCCGAATTCTGATAAAATCAAAGGTCCTGTATGTAATTCAATTGAAATTGTGTCGTCACTATACTTCCAAAGTTATTGTGTGTTTCTTGTCCACCAGTTCATCCAGAAACTAAAACCTGTGAATGTGTTTACTCCCTCTATGTCTTTTGGAAGGTTTATCTGGTTGTGGCAGTGCGCACTATTTTACGAATAAGTTTAAGATATAGGGTTAGAATTTGTCTTCAGCAACCCACGGCCGACGTGTGGTTAACATATGTCATTGGATCCTTGTTGCGTTGATTGATACTCATTATATTGATCACTGGATTGTCTGGTGCACACTAGATTATTCACAGACCGCCACCATATTGCTGGATCATTGCTGAGAGCGGGGTGAAACAACAAACTGACTGACTGAGTTTGGTTTAACGCCTCTTTTAGCAATATTCCAGCAACATCACGGCGGGGGACACGAACCAACAAACAATCTAAAGTATAACTTTATCACATAAGTTTCATTTCTATGTATTTCTATGGATAATCAACACCGCAGTCATGTCAGCTGATTGTTACTGAAACTTATTTCACTGATAGATGAAACTACATTACATCAGCAGAGATAATATACATGTCACCCGTGAAGATCCAGGTAAGAATTTGTCCCAAGCAATCCATGCTTATCGTACGAGATGACTAAAAGGTGGGCGTGGTTGACAAATGTCATTGTATCCGAATTTCGTTTATCGATGTTCATTATGTTGATCACTGGGTTTTCTGGTCCAGACTTGATTATTTACAGACAGCCGCCATATACCTGGGATATTGCTGAGTGCGGCGTATAATAACAAACAAACAAAATTACATCTTTATCACATAACTTTCATGCCTATGTATAATCATTACCAAATGTCAACTAATTGTCATTGAAATATATTTCACTGATAGATGAGACTCCATCACATCCGCAAAGGGTATATATACTTACATGCATTGACGATGATCTTTGTCATTACGAGTGATGTCCCTTGTCCATTTGTAGCAGAGCAGGACAGGTTCCCGGCATCAGACATTGATACATCACCCTTTGTAAACACTTGACCATGGTTAATGTTGTTGTTATGTGACCACGTGTAAGAGGTGACGGAGGGATTGGCGTCGTCAACGACACAAACAACAGTGACATCGCCCCCTTGTTTGACATTGATGACTTGTTGGTTTGGCTCGAGGTGTATTTTCGGTGGATCTTAGCCGAATAAAGGTAAACACACAACATATGTTATAAACAGAGACTCACAAGGACGTATAAATAGCATGGTGTAACGATAAATTAATTTTACTGAAAAACATGAACAAGGTCCATGGCATAGCTTACATCTGACATTAACAGTGGCATCTGCCCGTCCAGGTGTCATCATGTGTCCATTGTCAGCAGTACAGGTCAGTTGTCCTTGGTCAGACTTGGTTACGTTACGTTTGAGGAAGGTCGACCCAGTACTCGTTCGTCCGTTGTGTGACCACTTGAATGTGTGGACACTAGGGTTGGCATCACCCACGACACACTGCACACGGAGGTCTTCACCGACACCAACATCAATGGTGTCATTGCTCGGTTCCAAATGTACTTCCGGAGGGTCTGGAGACATTTATGTTTTATTTTTTATCATCTATAATTGTAAATAGCAATGCAGCAATACCATGTGACCAAATATATACTAGAATGTAGATTGACCAAACTGGTCATAACAAATGTAAACATAGTATAATGAAGCATATGGCGTGTATGACACCAACATCCAGTCTGTTATTTCTCAGCTCCAGATGTACGTCTGGCGGGTCTGTTATTCCATACTGAGACATTGTAGATTATTGATGCAGCAATATCGTATCAAACACTGTACTTTTCAGAAAGTTTTGTAATATGATTGAATCGATTTACCACGCATTACCATATGACCTTATTTTGACATGAAACAATCACGTTCTTTGATTGTTTACTCTGTTTCCAAACCAATTCCATGAGTCCCATAGATGTGCATTTGCAACTGCTTTAGTGCTTTTTTTTTAACTGTTTGTAACTAAACATAGCATAAAACACAGATCTAAGTTTACAAAAGTAAATATAGTATAATGCAGCACATGGCGTTTCATGATTGTACTGTAGAGGTGACCTATATTGTTATTGGTTTTCATCCTAAGTGAAGTACATAAGCTGTTCAAAGCAGATTTAAACCAAACATATTCATACCTGAAAGCATGCCTTTGGCATAACTTCTATTACTTGTGTAGAAACAGGCTTTTTGTCTCCTTCCCAATAGGTTTATACATTCTTACCCTATTTTTATTCCTTTCTATTCCTCATTCTACAATATGACTTTAATGACTTCGTGTCGTTGGACACTTACACCACACGTTGAATCGGGTGGAGGCCCTCGCATTCCCTACATTGCATGTTAGATTGCCCGAGTCAGACTTTAATATCATCGTTCTACTGAATGTTTGTCCACTGTCGGAACGCCCACTGTGTGTCCACCTGAACGATGTGACGGGAGAGTTGGAGTAATCGACCACACACTTGACACTGAGAGGTTGACCAAGAAGGACGTTGAGGACACTACCTGGTGGCTCCAGGTGGATACTCACAGTATCTGAAAGAAGTGGCATAGTGAAAGAAAAATAAAATAGTTGTAATTACGTCTTAAAACTGAAACTCAAATACAGACTCTACATACATTTGTTACATTTAGCTGAAGGGAAGGACTTTCAATATGTACCCCACCCAACGATTAATATCTCAAGTCCACCTCCACGACATAATACCAAAGATCACTACTTTGTCAACTTAACTCAAGGATGAAATCTGCAAAACTTCACTAACGTGCTTAAATAACCAATTTGCCATGTCATCAGAGCTTAAAAGAGCCAAACAAACCTCCAGAAGATATCAGTCTGCATCACTAATGCCCTGAAACCACATTGATAAAATACACAACGCTTATTCGTAAGAGGCGACTAACAACATCGGGTGGTCAGACTCGCTGACTTGGTTGACACATATCATCGGTCCCAATTACGTAGATAGATGCTCATGCTCTTGATCACTGGAGTGTCTGGTCCAGATACGATTTACAGGCCGCCGCCATATAGCTGGAATATTGCCGAGTGTGGCGTAAAGAAAACTCATTCACTCACTCACTCACTCACTCACAAATCGCTTATGTGTCGAACCAATCCCCATACTATACCCACCCATTCAACTAATGTGTAAAACATCACAATTGAGTGAAACAAACCTCCACCACATATCACACCAACATCACTACTGTGGGAACATCTTGGTGCTGTTCCCCAACCAGAGTGGGAACACTCGTCTAGGGAGGTCTCTGTCCCCAGACAATTGACATTGCTCAGCCAGATAAGTCCTTCACCTTGACCATAAGACGTTGTCACAGAGGCTGTTGTCCTAGACACGGGAAACCGTAAGGACACATGTTTAGCTGTTAGTTCATTAGTTGTTCTATATGTTTACAGGTTGTTTTAGATGAATTAAGTACTTGCCATTGTTTGTGGTAGAACAGGATGCACCAACCTTTTTGGGAACACCCGGTATGATATATTATGCGTTATGATTACTGATATGTTTTGTAGCTTTTTTATTGAAGTGTATTTCTTTGTGATGAAAAGAATACAATCTGCAAGTTTGGATACAGACATACAATAACATTTGGTTGGAACTGAGTTGGCACATGTCATTTTCAGCCTTTTGTGATTGGCTATCTAATAAGCTTGTTGGATGTTGTTTTAGAATATTTAAAACCCCTGAGTAATGGTTGGGAAACATGCAATGGAGGTTCCCGTGAATGATATTTCCACCTTGTGCAGCATGGCCTCCACCATGTCACTTGTGCAGTAGAATGACACGACCATCAACATTAATGACATATTATTTCCAGTAGAAGAAACTCAACAACGTAGATACGCATCTTTTTATGGACCTATAATATAGCCACGTCGCAGTGTAGATCTTTATACCCTTTCAAGGAAGACATGTGTTTAACCTTTCTTACTTTGAGGGTCAGTCAGAGTCATGATACGTGTCTTGGTCTCAAGAAATGTTTAGTGGTGAGAAGATGCACTTACCAGGGAAGATTTGCCATTTTGCATACAACTTGTGCCTCCTGTGAGGAAAACGACGACCCTCTACAGACTGTTCCCCACACATTGTTGTGTAGAACTTCTACCCGTCCCCGTCCAGAAGTTGTCGAATTTAGGCGTATTTGAAGATGAGCTGGAACAAACAATATGAGGGGCGTTACATACATTCACAAAATTCTCATGCTATTTCACCGTCTTTACCAGTTTTGACAAACAGTTTAACTTACCAGACGGACACTGTACTCTGATTACCATCCATGCTGTACCAGTATTCCAAGGGTAGTGCAGACATTCATTCAAGGTGAGTTCAGTGCCAACACACTGGACTTTATCGAAGAGTGTTTCATTGCCGAGATTGAAAGTCAAGCTGGCGAGGGCTGCATCGCTAAATATCAAGAGTGAACCAAAAAACATATGTAAGGATCATTTACAAATTGGTCAAATGTGTGTCAAATCTGTATATTTGGTTATTTTAACATACTTCATTTTCTTAAGATAAAGTATAACATAAGATGTGTAGATTGACTTTTCTGACAAGAAGAAACATACAGCAATTCTTGGTTACAATTCAGTCTTATTTGTCTCACGTGTTGTATCCCAACATTCTGCAAGCAACCGTTGCCTCTTCAACTCCGAACCCAGTGGAATGAACTCTTCCCCATCGTCCACCATAGTACAGCTCCAGAACTCCTTCTCCTTGCGTGTTGGCGTTGGAGGAAAGTCTTGCTGCTGCAATCTCTGATGAAGACATCACGATGACATTATTGGAAGATGTGTGTATATCACCTGTTAGTGTGACTCTAAAACCTGCATACATGTCTATTGGTAACATAAGGATTCGTTCATAAGTACATGCAAGTACATTCTCATTATTTTGAAGCATCGTACAAGGGACTCTGTTTTCAGCTGAGATTTTGTTATAATCAAAGAAATATATTTCCACCATTGTGTAAACATCCCTGTTCACAGAAATTGGTATTTTGAAGTGGGCAAACAGAAATTCGATATTAAACGTTGGTATGTTACTACTGTCCACTTACTCTTGTCCTGAAGTTCACGAAGCAGTATGGCCATCCAGTGGACCTTACAAAAAGTAGATTTACTATATGCTGAATTTCGCTGTGAACACAAAGGCTGATCTGGAATAAGAGCGACAAAACATGTCCATAGTTGTAAGAAATCTTCACCAAAACCTTAGTCCATTGTACGATTCCTACCAAATCGTTACCATGTTTTTCACCAATACTTAACATACCAGGTGATGACAGCAGGCGAATATGGTAAGCATGTCATGTGTTACATATATTACCTGCCACAACTTTCATAAGTGTCACGATCAATGATACAATCCATACCTTCAGGAAACGAAGAACACTCAACACCAACAGCTTCTGAGCCGCTACAGTCATCTGTGCCCCATGGCCTGTGCTTGCAGTCCTTTAGATCTGTGTTCTGCAGCGTGCACTGGACGTCATCTAGCCACATTTTAGTGGAATTGCTTTCATCTATTACCCTTCCTCTTCTGAAAAAATAGGGAATAAAATACTTTTGCAAACCTGAAACATTTAATCTTTGTTATATATTGTAATGTAGGTAAGTTGTGTTAACAGTTGCTTTGGTGATCAATTCAGTCATGTTTAGGGGAAGCCTGAAGCAAAGCAGAACCCAGAGAAGCCTGTAAGGGGATTGGTTAACATCTATTTTACCCTCTCATCCTACCGGGTACTCGCAGGCAACACATGTTTCAGTTTCAGTCAACCACTTAGTGACTTCGCCAACTTGTGACATGCAACCACGTTTCATTATACAACATGACTCAAAGTTGTTCTATTATCATCTTAATGCATAGCCCATTTCTGGTGTCCCCCGCCATGATATTGCCAAAAAGCGGCGTAAAACGATACTTACTCACTCACTTAATACATAGAGTGCACTAGTGTTTAATTGTAATTACTGACTATCCACGTAATCTTATTCGATTCAACATATGGTATTCCAATTCTGCACAGCATATCTTTCCCGGATAGAAATAATGATTTTTTCTAAGTTGATATGACAAGGTTATATTATCTTTGTGTTTTACAAATTAAGAACATTATGAACCATTCAGGCCGGTAAAGCTAATCATCAACACAGGGCCCTTGAGTCCTCTACACGCAGCCCAGACAGCGAATGGGACTTGTCCCATGAAACGCTGCCTAGTCGAACCAACCAAAACGTTCCGGAGAATATGAAGGCTCCTCAACACTTCAGCCTCCTGCAGGGCTGTAGAAGGGCTGTGCTCCCAGTGGAGAACCCGAGCAGACGCTCGATATGCGCCAAGAGATCAGGAGGTACCAATCCAAGGGCAGCGAGAACAATTGGGAGCCTGACGACAGTGTATTCGGGATGCAAGCGAGACATTTCAAAGGCGAGGTCCGCACATTTGCCATGTTTCTCTGAATCGTGTCAATCCCATTGCTGTCAAAAGGGACAGAAAATTCAATGATATCAATAACTGGTATAAATATTTTGTTTTGGATTTGTTAAACGAGGCATTGAATTATTACTTACTGGTACCCCAGAGCCCTGCACACAACTGAAGCTTCTACTTCGCCGAAAAGGTCATCACACACTGTTCCCCAGACACCGGAGTGGGATACCTGGAGGAGTCCCTTTTTGTAGCTTGGTGTCAGCTTCATCGTTATGTCACCTAGAGAAGCAGTACGACGAAAAACGTGTAATTTTCTTTTCCCACTCTTCTAAAAAGAAACCACATAGACTCACCTTGGAACATGTTACTGTGTCAAATTACATGGGCATAGTTCACAATGAATGTCATCGAAACGTAGTATGATGACAAGCATGTACACATGCTGGCAGTGAGAATTGTTCTGTTAGAAGAAATGTACGTCTATGATCAGGTTGGGGTTGGGGGTTGTAGTGTGCCCTCTGATCTGTACATGACAGTGACGCCAGGATTATGCTGGCAGTCAAGAGAGATCTCCGGCTTTAGGATATTGCGTTGCTCTTATGGACACTGTCTTCCTTCTCGGCGTTGGATAAGAAATTAGGATTCGTCTCTGACAGAGTGTGGGATCATTCCAAAGTCGACGTTCCGTTTCATGGTCTTGATGCATTTGGTTTATGTTTGGTAAAATTCTGTGAAATGTTCAAATTGCTAAAAAAATACATTTTTTACAGGAGGTTGATAACATTTGGTATCCAGTTCGCCATGTACAAAGTAACACAAATTCCTTGTTGGTGACGGTAAAGATCAAATACAATTTACGTTATTGTCTCGTGGCCAAAGCTGTAAGGCCAAGTGGAAACTGATCGTTATCAGGACGAATCCACACACGATCTACACTCTTCCAAAAAAAAAGCATAAACCAAAATTCCCACCTCTCTAGACAATGAGTTCGTCAAATACAACAGTCTTATTGTTGTGTTTCTGTTTACTTGAGTCCACAAGATAGCGTCAAAGTCAGTACTTTGTATGGCCACCATTGGCAGCAATTGCTGCTTGGCACCGTCTCGGCACATACTGTTGACTAAGTTGTTTTTGCGGAATTCGACCCCTCTCTTCCTGCAATGCGAGTTCATCCCATAGGTGTTCTATCGGGCTTAGATCTGGTGATCGGGAAGGCCATGGCAAGACATTGACGTTAGAATTGGCAAGGCAGCGGACCGTGACGCGTGCCGTATGTGTAGTAGCCTTATCATACTGAAACAACTCTCTCTGTGGGTCCATAATCGGAATCACGTGACGTGCAAAGACTCTGTTGATATACTGATTTGCTGTCAAATTCCCCTGAACCAAACCCTTAATCAGATCTATAGTGCTGGATATCTCATGATCACCTCACCCCATGACACTGTCCCCACCGAATCTGTGGACTTGTCGAATGCAATTAAGAGCAAATCGTTCATTTCTCCGATGGTAAACACACTGTCTTCCATCTCGCCGGTGAAGAATAAAAATCGTGATTTATCACTGAACCAGACTCGCCTCCGGTTTCTAATGTTCCAGTTCCGGACTCTACAACATCACCGCAAGCGATTGCACCGATGGAAAAACGAATGACACAATTAAACGTTTGCCTTTTCATAGTAATCGAAACCGCATGATTTTCCGCTTACTTGCACGTGCAATTTGGTTTCCATGTTTTCTTATTGACGACTTTGCGATATTTCTTCAAACGCTTCTAAAACAAGGTGAAAAGTAAAAATTGCCGCGTTGTGGTATTGAAGCTGTTTACAATCACGCGACGATGAGGTTTCGAGACGAACAGTATTGGTTTAGCCGCGCCTGAGTCCAATATTCTCAAAATCACTCATGCGCTTCTTGTTTTGAAGAGCATGAAAGTATCCTCGACCATGAAAGTGTATAAACAGTGACGATAGAAGAGTTTCACTATAATGACTCTGATATTCACGCAAACACTCGTCTAGACTGGTCATGACCATGTATAAACAGTGACCGTGCCACAAGAACAATAGCTATAGCTAAATGATAAGAATTGCTGCTGATATTCAAGTAAATACTTGTCAAGATAATAACAACTCACTTGGGTCACATATGATGCCAACATCTTCACTGTGGCCACAATTGTTGACGCCCCATGAATTGTGTGAACAGCTGGCCAAAGATGATTCGGAACCAGAGCAACTCACGTCATCCAACCAAATCTGCCCTCCTCCAAAACCGAAAGTTTGAATCGCCCTTGGTGTAACTCCGCTTTCACTAAAGGTACAAATCAATTGTTAAATTCACGAAAACGTCGTAATTGTCCAAAATTATGGGTCAACCATTAATATCAGTATTAAAATAGTAAAAAAACACGATTGTAATAAACAGCTTATGTACCTACCTCAGTATGTTATTTAAGAACTGAAATAAAACAATGTCCTGATATTTCCATACATACTACGTCCGGGGGCGCGGTGGACGAGCTGTGTAAGGCGCCAGGCTAGTGATCTAGCGAGCTTTAAAAGGTGCCGGGATCGAGTCAAAGGGTGTATACACGTGAATACGTTTCACGGGCAACGTGCAGTAAACTTGGACAAAGTACAGTCACTTTGTGCCCCAGTCCATCCAGCTGTGAATTGGTACCTAAAGCCTCATTAACTTGAGATTGAGGAATTGAGATTGAACATATAACTATCTGTCATCATAGTAACTTACTGTCGTCATAAATACTTCACCCATCTCATTACGTCACACAAGCCCCATTTATTTCATAGTAACTTACCGTTGTCATACATACGTCACCTATGTCATTACTTCATACAATGACCATTATGTCATAGTAACTTACTCTTGTCATATATACGTCACCCATCTCATTACCTCATACAAGGACCATTATGTCATAGTAACTTACTGTCATCGTACACACGTCACCCATCTCATACTTCATACAGGGACCATTATGTCATAGTAACTTACTCACCACACAAAATGACTGTATTAGCCAAATTTACTAACGTCAGGAAATACTCGTTTCATCCGGCGGCCATATGAACAACGTTTGAAATCTACGTATCATCTGGCCGTCAGATTTACACACGTTTAAAGGGGTGTTAAAATAAACGAACATTCAACTCTGCATTTACATGTATTTCACAGGTGTGTAAATCTGGCCATTGTTTCCATGTGTTTCCTAACATGTGTAACATATGTAAATGCTGTGATTGTAGGACATGCATTTCAATACCCTTGAAATCTCGTATGACCAGGATTAGGTTTGTCATATATTTAGTACATGCGTAAATGGTTGGAAATGGGTAAATATAGTGTTACAAGATTAGCACTACTTTAACATGTATTTCAATGGTTCTGTAATGTAACTGTCACATAGGGTTCGTTAGCGCGTCCGACCGCGCCATAAGGTACCGAGATAATTAGAAACACATGGTGAAGTGATACCCATGACTGAGCACCACCAATAACGTGCGTGTCTTTCTCGACATACACATGGTGTCTGTTTAAAAGGTTCAAATATCGGGTCTATGGGCCAGAGCGATATGTATGTTAGGGAGTGTGTGTGTGTGCGAGGGAGAGGGTGTGGCATGGGGTAGGCCTAGGGTGGGGTGGTGGCGGTGTTGGGGTACTGATAAGTCTTTCTGACCAGTAGGTAATATCGTTTATACTTTTTGTAAAGGAAATTACATAACAGTTTAAATAACTGACCTTAGGTACACTTCTTATATATGCTATACAAGGAGACACTGCTAATTACAATAAAACACAGACAGATGTGTTCACACAGACATGAACCGGTAGGTCCCTAATTTTAGTGCTCACTTGTATGAGTTATCCGACTGATCATAACTGAACAAATTTCATTATCTATACTTTCATAAAAGATGATAACAATGTATTAATGATTCCCGGTGTAAATTACTGTTGTAAATGTGTGGACATGCACATACTTGGTATGACCTCTTTTTGATTCGGAATACAGGTATTATTCCATACGGACGTTTTCTCAAATTTCAGTTACCCGACGGAATATACTGTAGACATATTTTGTTTCCACCTCTTGGGTAGACTAAAGAACATTGTAGTGATTGCAATTAGCTCATAATTTTCATAATAGACCTATTTTGTTTCAATCTCTTCGGTAGACTATAAAAAATTGTAGTAATTGCAATTAGCTCATAACTAAGCAGTTTCGATAATTATTGAAAGCTTACTACCTGACAGCATTATGTTGCTCATGCGTTTTCTTTCTTGCTTTTGCTTATTGCTGTCTAATTTGTTATACATTATATAATTATGTTAATCATTTGGTATCTCAATATCATGGAATATAATGTGTACTGATTAATCTATCAAAGTACCGAAACGTATTATCTGTATGCTTTACTGTTATTGGGTGAAACTGTTAAAAGTACCTTCGTACAGAATTTCGAGGAAATAGAAACTGAAAATTACTAGATCAATGGAAAACTAAATTGGATAAAGATCGCAAACAATCATTATTTATATTCCAATTTTTAAATTATCAGTTTGCAGATAATGTCACTAACATAAAAAGTGAAGGATATATAGTGACAAAACTAGGTTCAATCTTGGATGTATAATAAATGTACCAATGTATATTCTTTAACAGTATCAAGGAATGATGGGGTACGCTCGTGGTTAAAACGTTTGCCTGTCAGGTCAAAAACCGGTGGTTGATTTCCGACATAGGCGCATTAAGACTGAAAATATATTTATTTTGATAAAAGGCAAAGATCTTAATTTCAATTGCAAAAATGAGACGAAGTAATTTGGAAGATTCACAGACTAACAACGTCTATATCGGGGCTACAGGTGCCGGAAGCATCTTCAATTATAAAATCACATTCCACAAACATCAGATAAAGGTTTCAATGACAAGCATATTTATTGGTATCTTGTCAAGCTCTGTCCTCTCTCAATGCAGTATAACCAGAGTGCTGTGGTCACTACCTCGGGTGGCCAAATTCAGCCATCCCATTACTTTACAGTATTTTCTTACAGACATATATATGGAAAATTAACTTTTACGGGTATGGAAAGAGTGGGGGGAAACAGGTGCAAAGTATTAGTCAGCTGAGATTATCCTTCAAAAAGATCATATGTACAACAATCAATTATCATTATGTGCAACCAAAGTATTACAAAAAGGCCATATTTCCAGACAGCATAACATCACCTTGGGCTGGAGTTCCAAATAATTTGACACCGAAAGCCTGTCAGTTAACGCAAAGGAAATAACCCTTGTGTTTTGAAATGATGCCTTAATCATAGTCACCATAAAGTGTAGGTTGCCATCCATTTTCTAGTCTGTCTCACAGTCCTTGAACCACATTATTTTCCTTACTGCTTAGTCTGTCTCACAGTCCCTGAACCACATTATTTTCCTTACTGCTTAGTCTGTCTCACAGTCACTGAACCACATTATTTCACCTACTGCCAAGCCCTCTCTGCAATGTTAAAGCCTTAAATGAAGCAAGTCTAGATCTCCTCAGGTCCAGGGTCTGTTAACATCTGCAGGAAACCTAACTCACTTTGGGTCGGGGTACAAAGTAAACATATCTATAGCTAACTGTCATGGCTAGCCGGACTGAATCTCGTGTCTGCCTTGGGCTCCTTTTCAATTTAAATGGGTTTGTTTGTTACTATCAAAATTATATATATTCAGACACAGAGCGTTAGTCTATGTATTTTCCAGTATGATGAAAATACTAATACAGGTATTTACCAAATAAAATTCTAAAGGAGCCTTTCTTCAAGCAGTGACTTAACGCCATACATAGCTAGACTTGCTTAGATGATAGACTTCATATAAGGCATCATAGATATTTCACAAACATGGTACAGGACCCTTAGCCTCATTAGCTTATTGCCTCACCACTTGCGAATTAAGCGTTGGCAGATGTAAATGTTACTGGAGATGTTGGTCCCGCCAGCTGTGGGTGTTTGGTATGGCACTCCATAACCCAACCCTGCAGTGAGTTTTTCTAGAGACGGAAGGAGAAAAACTATCGTTCTTTGACTTTGGAAAACCAAACAATTGGACAACAAACCATTGTTTGGGTCTTTAAACTGTAAATATGATTCAAATAGCTTAACCTAGATTTCGATATCCTCCGATAGGGACATTTGGTGGAAAATATACATTTATACCGAGACAAGGACGAATGTATATGTATAATAAAATGTAGCAGCACTAGTATTCATTTTGTCGTGTGTCTTCTACCCGTCAGAACTAGATTAACAACTAGTCCTTGCTATGAACATATTTTACTGAAAAAAAGTTCTTAGTAAAAAAAAATATAATATAATGAAAAGGAGCCCCGAGACTTTCTCCTGAAGCTGTGGAAATCTAGACTTGCCACATTTTGTAGACTTACGTGGGCTTGGATATATTTGATTCAGGGTCTGTATGACAGACGACGTCCCAACATACGCTCAGTCACATGTGTCTCCAGGTCACGGAGAATCAGTGGTTAGAGGCCAGTATTGCAATTCTAGTGCGTTTGCCAGGCGCGTAGCAAGCCATTTTTTTCGTGTAAGCCCTATGGGCTGCAAAGCGTTATATTTAGGTGGTATTGAGGGCTTGCCCAACTTTCATTTTTTATGAGACCTGAAGAGTTATCGTTTGACGTTTGATGATTTCAATAGCTTCAAAATATTGTGGAAAGACTTCCGCCTCAGTCCCCCCTTAAATTTCATTCTAGTCAAATCATATCACCTGAATATAGATTGTATATATTCCTCATCTGATAAGGATGAATTTTAACGTGATTTGTTTATTGTATCTGAACATACTGAAAGACATATTCTACTTCCAAAAAATGCCACTCAAAGAAAGTTTCCTCATCGTTAAAATTAAGAGGGGGTTGTTACGGACGGAAGTCTTTCCACCATGGAAATTGAAATGTGATTGATACAATACCATACATCGAGTATTTGGTGTTTTTTTCTAAAATAATTGATAAACAAATGAAAAATAGTCAACTGCATTTCAGTGATGATTCACATATAATCATAACTGTAACAAAACATCCTCATACATGTCGATGGAAAAACAATCATCACTGAAAGTTATGATATGAAGAATAACCTGTTTACTGTACATGGTAATGCTTTAATCAAAGATATTGTATTCAGTATGATTCATAGAGGAATTACCTTTTTTTAAATGGAACGTGTTTGTAGGTATTTCTGGCAAGAATTAGAAGAAAAATATTTTTTTAGCAAAGATCATG